TGGCTTGCCTGACCCCCGAAAGTCGCGGCGCGTTAACGGCCGCGACTTCTAAAATACAACAGGGAGGTACTGGTGGTTTAAAAAAAAAAAAGAAAAAAAAAAAGCACTAGACACGTGTACGGCTTGCGGGGATGACTGGATTCCACAGCTTAGGGCCTCGCTCCACCACTCTCCAAATGTGCAAAATGAGACTGAATCCTTCGCTAAAACATGGGAAGATACATTGCTACAATTTTTGTCGTTTCTGCATGTGAAGAGTAGTGCAGGGAGGCCCATAAACTGGCGGGAAGGCAAGTCATCCCCGAAGAACACGAGTGCACATTTCCACAAATCTCGAACGATATATGTACTTGAATTATAAAATTGGCCGCCTCCTGTGGAAACATGCCGTCAGTTTGTTATTTGTTTCGTAAGTGGTTTCCTCCTGGAGCAGCTGAAAGCCCCAGGATGAGTCAATAATAATCACAACCCCAGGAAACAACAAACACCAATCTCAGTGTTACACGATGTGTCAATGGGACGCTGGACCCAGTTTCCAACAGGTGCCACTCCCCACCAATAGATGGAGCAACCCGACGTCTAAGCCCTCAATTTTGACGGTTCTCTTACCACTGCCAGGATAGAGGGATCTCGCAAGGGCCTTTCTATACTAAAAAAAAAATGTGTTTGAATTATAAAATTGAAAAAAAAATATAAAAGTGTTCAAATCCCAAACACTTTTTTTTCCTTCGCTGCAATTTTTGAAGGCTCTCGCACCCTCCCCATTTCCCGTCGTGTTGGGACTTCACACTGTTTACAGGGTAGTAAGCATGCTCATACATCCATAAGAACAAAGACCAGCAATTGTCCTACCACTTGTCTCAATTGGCCTTTTCCTTACCTCAGTCACCACCAACAGACACTGAGAGTTACCGAGTTGTTTCGGTAACAAAATCATTTCCTCGAACTCTACTACTCGGCAACTCTTCTTCGCATCCGCATATTCTTAACATCTATTGTTCATGCCCTCCACTCAATTTCACTGACGATGTATCTGGGCCAAGGTTCAACATTTTAACAGTTCACGACACTCAGTTGGAGTTCAGATTGGGATCAAGGACTACAAGGCATTCGGACCAAGATCAAGGACAACGACTTCAGGTTGGACTTGGGACCTACAACTGTGAGGCAACTGGATCAGGACCAAGGACCAAGGAACTTACCCAAGATGCATCTGGATGTTGCTGGCCCAAATGGCACTACTCCCTCCGCCCGCGATGGTATAAGTTACCAACAGCGCCACAGTGGAGGCAGGCCGTGGAACTTGTTGAATCTGTTGGACTTCCATTGAACCTCCCTCGGTTGACCATCTGCCTGTAACACTCAGCTATGTTTCTATTCCGAGTCAACGGGTAACGAGAAAGTTTCAACTCCGTTGTACTCGTTGAATAGCCCCAGGGCCCCCGTTGAATGGTACAACAGACCCTCCGTGTTGAATATTGTTCGACAGGGAGGGTGAATAGGGCCTCGGACACGATGCTGGATGCACATGAACCAAAAAAAAAATTCTCCCGTTGAATCCCGTTGAATCCCCGTTGACTCCCCGTTGAATCCCGTTGGGAAAAAAAAACAGACGTCGTCCAAGAACTCTGTGTGTGTGCGTGTGTGTGTGCTATGTTACCGCATGTTCATTGAACGCGCGTTCCACGTTCAGTTTTTGAACGCTTTGAACGCGCGTTCACTGAACGCCCCTGAACGCAGTTGACGTGTTTGCGCAGGGGTCTGTCGGGGCTTGGGGGGTGCCTCTGAGGCCGCTGGAGGGTCGCCGGTGCTCAGGGGAGCCTGCTAGGAGGTTGCAGTCTCGGAAAAAAAAAAAAAAAAAAAAGGCCCGCGTTTCGTCGCGGGGCGGTGTATAGCGGGGGCAGCGTTCACACGCGACACAGTCGTGCAGTGCGCATCAAACGTTCCCCACGTTCACTTCGACAAGTGCTGCACACTCACTGTGAACGACTGAACGAACGCACGCGCGTGCGCGCGCGCGCGCGCGAGAGAGAGAGAGAGAGAGAGAGAGAGAGAGAGAGAGAGAGAGAGAGA